TGTATCAGCTCCCAGGAGCATCGCCAAGCTCAAAGCCAGCTCTGGGCTCATGGGTCAGGATGGTGGTGCCGGCGGGCTGAGGTGGGGGGCTCCCTGAGCACATACGGGCAATGTCAACATCCCATCTGGTGGGGAGTAGGGGGAAGAAAGGGCTTCCTTTAGGGCGATGATGCCTAGCAGAGACCTAGAAGGATAAACACAAGTTAGCCAAGTTCAGGCAGTCAGGAGGGCCGCTTGTGCAAAGGCCCGGGAGAGAGCAAGCGTGGGCTCTGGGTGCTGTTGGCAACGGCTGGGGGCATGGCAGGTCAGTGACAAGGGCCAGCCCGATCGCCGCATTCAGGTCCTGATGGTTCTAGTGAGCTGCTCCCCAGTTTGGAGTTTATCCTGAGGGTGACATGAGAGGGACTCCTCACACGTGGGCTGGGAGAGCTCGCTGCAGCTCCAGGGCTCCAGGAAGGTGGCTGGAAAGACGACTTTCAGTGCAGAACCCCATGAACGGTCTCCCTCGTTAAAGCAGTCTTGAGATGATTTGGCTGGAACTCAGGTGCACGGAAATAGGAATGGACAGAACTGGACAGACTGGGATGCCTGCTTAAGGATGGCAGATGAGGGAGACCCAGACGCCAAGCCCAGGACCCTGGTTTCCGGTTTGGAAAACTCAGTGGCGGGGCGGAGGGAGCCGGGGAAAGAAGCGGGTCCGGGCCGGGTCCTGGGAGTCTCGAGGTCCCTGGAGAGACCTGGCCTGGGACGGAAGCTGTGCTGTGCTGGGTGTCCAAAGCCACTGGAGCCAGGGAAGGGCTGAGCGTGTCCGCCGGCGGAGGCGGACCTCTCCCCTGCGCGGAGTCCCAGGCCCCCTCGCCTGTGCTGCCCCCGGGGCCGCGTCCTCCCCCAAGGGGGCCCCTATCCAGGCTGCTCTCTGGGGGCTTACCGCCTTCTTGGACAGTTGCCCTGATCCCCATGCAGAATTAACTCCTTGCTCTCTCAGTTTCCCTCCTACTCAGATGACGATTTACTGCTAAAAACCCATAGACATTAACGGATTATGACCTAACACACTTCTGAATTTTGATGAAGAGAGTCAATAGGATTTAAATCCATTGCAACCTCAGATTTTCCTCTCTTGCTCCTTCTTTCTTTCTCCTTTTCTCCCTTCCTTCCCCCACCTCTCTTCCTCCCATCCTCCTTCCTTCCTTCCTTCATGTTTGGGTAGGTAATCTGTCCTGAGGCGCCCTGCCCCTTAAGACCCCACCCTTGCCACCATAACGCCCATTTCCTCAGCCATGGATTTTCCCCAAAATTACATATGGGGTTTTTCGCTTTTGAAAGCATAGGTCTAAACTGCCTTTCTGTATCCTGATCCTTTTTTGTCTAAAGAATATGTACCCACACTCAGTACATTTATTTGCAACATGGAAACCTCAGATTGTGGTGATTCTGGCACAGACGAGACAGGATCGGCCCATGTGTCTGTTCCACCGACGCAAAGCCCCTGGGTCAGGAACACGGGCAGAGGGTGGCGGAGAAGAAACCATGTGTGTGAGATCCCCCGGATTCATCAGGAGTTCCCACGGCTATAGGGCGTTTCTCACACTGCATCCTAATTCATTTGCTTACAAGTCCGTCTTTTCCCCTTTATCTTAAGTTCTAAGAAGAGAAATAAACCTTACCCTTCTTTGGATTCCCTGTCCCTGGGCCTTGACACAGTGCTGTGTATAGCAGTGTTTAATCCGTATCTGTTAGGCCAACGAATGAATGAGTCTGCCGTTCACAGGATGGGGCAGGCAGCTTCCTGACACATGAAGTCACAGGGGCAGCTTTTCCAAGAGGCGGGAGGTTTCTGCTGCTCCCTCTGCCCGAGAAAAAGCGTAAAGAATGTGCATCAATAGCACAGGTTACGTGGCACATGTCTACTTTGCGGTGGTGTGTGAGGAAGAATTCTGAGTCCGCAGACGTGGAAACTGATAGGGAGAACTGAGATGAGAGCAAAACTGAGACTTGATGGCATCGGGAGGGAAGGAAGCCAGGAGGACGGACAGACAGGACGCGGGACCAGGAAAGGGAAAACTGTGTGGCTGGACAGAGAGACTGATGGCAAAGAAATTGAGAAAAAAAAAGGAAATATTGATAAACTGTAAACTTGGTAAATCTTGGTAAACTGATGACAGAGTTGGGAAAGATTGAAAAAAGGAAGCATACAAAAGCTAAGTGCCCATCCCAAAGACCACTACCATCTTATTCCCCTCTGCTGTTCAAAGCTTTTCTTTTAAAAAAATCTTTATTTACTTATGTACTTATTTATTCTGTTTTATTTACTTTTGGCTGTGCTGGGTCTTCGTTGCTGCACGGGCTTTTCTCTGTTTGCGGCGAGCAGGGCCCAGCCCCTGGTTGCCGGGTGCAGGCTTCTCAGGGCAGTGCCTTATCGTGGTGCGGAGCACTGGCTGTAGGCGCGGGGTGGAGGTAGTTGTGGCCTCACTGCCCCGAGGCATGTGGAATCCTCTCGGACCAAGGATAGAACCTGTGTCCCCTGCATTGCAAGGGAACGTAGACCACCAGGGAAATCCTGTTCAAAGCTTTTCCAAAATCCTCTTCCTAGAAATCTTCAGCAGGAGCAAAGAAAGCATCTTAACTCCTATAAGGGAATTGTAAGAGTAGAAGGAACCCAACAGTTTTCAAGTGCCTTTATTTCACACACGAGGCAACTGAGGCCCAGAGGACGGAGAGACGTCTGCGTCGGCAAAATCATGGTCTCTGTGCTTCCAGACCTCTGTTCATTCACAGTAGATATTCACTTATTGTTCCCATTTCTCCAAACAGAATTGAAAAAAATGTTTGTTTTAAAAAAGAAGTCAATAAACATCTCTATCTGAAGGAACAAGAAGTCTCGGAGGCAGAGGCTGTGTTTTGATTGCTGTTGTATTCCTAGGACCTGGCCCAATGCTTGGCACAGAATGGCTCTCAGTAAGGTTTTGTTTGGATAGATGGATAGATGGGAGGGTGGATGGGTGGGAGGATGAGTGTAGGGTGATAGAAGGGTGAATGGATGGATGGGTGGATGGAGGGGTGGGTGGAAGTGTAGGCGGGTGGATGGAGGGGTGGGTGGATGGATGGACAGACAGAAGAACAGACAGCTTGGGTGGGTGGGTGGATGGACGGAGAGATGTGCTCTACCAGGGCTACCAGTGTTACCCAGATATTCGTGAACAGACGTGTTTTCTGACATTAAGCGCTCTCCGACTCCAGCTTGTAATTGCATATGGACCACGCCTTCAGGTTATTTTGAAGAATGCTCCATACACATTGATCAAGCGAGTGAATGCGATCATTGGTAACCTAAAGGAGACTACAATTTCACTGGAAACCTAAGACACGGACACAGCAGAAATAATCAGCAGTATAGGACAATGATGTGTTGAATGTCAGGTGACCCTGCCGGCACTGTGGGCTGTATGTAGAGTGATTCCCTGGTTACTTTACTTTTGAAACTGGGACGCTTTGAGAGTGAAAGGGGTCCTTATTAATAAATAAACCAAGAGAGTAGGAAGCAACTGGACCATATGGTCAAGGCAGATATAAGGGTGTTCGTTTGCGAGAACAGATTCTCCAGGGGGAGCCTCTGGGCATTTGCATCTACCATTCCTACATTTGGAACACCTGCCATCTCATTCCTAATTAGGAAACTACCACTTAATCTTAAATTAATAAGTATGATCATGCTGTATGTGCTCCGTCAGTCACTCGTGTCCGACTCTTCACGATGCTATGGACTGTAGCCCGCCAGGCTCCTCTGTCCATGGAATTATCCAGGCAAGAACACTGGAGTGGGTTGCCATGCCCTCCTCCAAGGGATCTTCCCAGACCAGAGATTGAATCTGAGCCTCCTACACTGCAGGCAGATTTTTTAACTCACCAGGGAAGCCCCTAATGAGTTAATAAGTATTAAATGGGAACGAAAACTGCGTGTGAGTGATAAAGACTAGAGGAATAATTTTTAAAAGATTCTGTACATGCCTCAAGTTTGTAGTAATGAGTTGGCTGTCTTAAACACACACAAAATCAGACACTTCTTTCTAGAGTTTTTAATTACAGACATTTGGCTTTGAGCAAAATGCCTCTTTTAATGATCTAATGAAGGTAATCCAGAATTTTTTTTAAAAGAGCTGGAAATGTTCCTAATAAGGGAAGGTTTATGCCCTTCCTATATAACATGTAGGGGTTTCCCTGGTGACTTAGTGATAAAGAATCCACCTTCGATGCAGCAGTTGCGGGTTCAATCCCTGGGTTGGGACAATCCTCTGGAGAAGGAAATGGCAACCCACCCCAGTATTCTTGCCTAGATAATTCCATGGACAGAGGGGCCTGGCGAGCTGCAGTCCACGGGGCTGCAAAAGAGTCAGACACGACTGAAGTGACTAAATAACAGCAACGATATCCAAGGTGTAGTCCATGGACCTCAGTGTCAGCATCACCTGGGGATATGCTAGAAATGCAGGCTCTCAGGCCCCATTCCAGACTTGCAGAGTCAGAATCCACCTTGAACGAGGTCCACGGACAGTTTGCAGGCACATCAGTGTTTGGGAAGCGCTGTTCTGTACCACATTAATTCTTCCAAAAGAATGACGTTTATTTAAACACTTAAATATACTTGTATTTTGCCGCTGCTTTCCTGTATAAAATATATGCAAAGTAGTTTCCTTTTGCTTGTAAGCCATTTCAGCGTTTAGAACTTTAATGATGATGAGGATGACCATTGTTTTACCAAGAGATCCGTCAAAATGGGGCTAAGACACCTGATATTCCCACAAATTGCATTCTCCATTGGGGGTAAGGATAGAAAATAAACTCAGATTTACACAATAAGCGACTCCTTTCTGGCAGAGACCGGCTTTTAGCTCTAGCCAACCAATTTTGGTGTAAAAACTTCTCCCAGTGGGAGGAAAAACATCAAAATGACAGAAGAAACCATCCTTGGAAATGCAAACTAATCCAGAAAGTCTCCACGTTCATTCATTGTAAATTGTTGAAGGATTGTGAGCGTGCTCCGGGGGTCCCTCGCCCAGCTCTCCTGCCAGCGTTGCTGGCTGGGCCGCCACGACTGTGCTAATCCCCGGCAAGGCCACAGCTGCACACCGGCGTGATTCTGCGGACAGGAAATAGCTTCTCCAGGCCGCAACCCAGGGTGCTGCACATGCGACCCTGCGAACCCCTGCAAGACGAAGACAGTCACGTGGGGGGCAATGTGACGGGACGCCGGGCTTCCTGGCAGCCTCTCCCCGGTTAACATCTGCAGCGTGTCCCGAGCTGGGAAGCGTGGGGGGTCCTGAGAATTTCTCTAACGCCCCATGACTGTCCCCCAGGCTGGGCACCAGGAGGGACATGGCCACTTGAGGGCCCAAAGCGTCCCCGAACACAGATCTGCACAGTTCTTGAAAGCTCAGTCTCTTTTGCCTGCTGGCATGACAACCTAAAACATTCACACGTCCCAACAACAGGTGTTCATCCAACGTGGGGGAGGAGGAATCAGAGGTCAGGATAATACTCACAAAGCACCTGCATGCTGCCCTCCTGACAAACACCCTGGCTCTGCCTCCTAGGGGTGCCTGTTCCAAGAAGCATGGGCGGATGCTGCAAGAATCGAGGCTGTGGTCCCAGAAGGCCAGAGAGGCGCGAGGTCTCATGGTGACAATAGTGGAATCGTAGCCCTCAAAGAGACCTATGTCCCCCCTCCCTTTCTCGGCCACTGTCTATCAAATAAGGATTAATCCTGCCCTGGCTCATCTTATGGTAGGAAGGGCCAAATCAGACCAAACGAGAGACTGTCTTTGAAAACCCTTATGTGTCTGGTTTACATGCATGTCAACCAAAAGAATATGTTTTTAAAGATCAGCATTCTTTTAAACTGAAAAAGCAGGTTCAAGGGAGTCAGCTGGTGACTTGCCCACAGTCACTAGACCATGTGCTGTCCGTTTGCGAGCCGAGCTGGACCGAGAGACCCCGGTCCTTCCCCGTGGTCTGCAGTGGTCCAGGCGCGCCTGCCTGCCCTCCATCGGACAGGACGCTCGTGCTCCAGCCTCGTGCTAGAGAATCCAAGCCTGAGCTCTCTACTGGCCAGTCCTCTAGCAAAGAGTGATTTTTTGAAAAATGACGTTTGAGAATTCCCTGAAGGGTATGCAAATTATCCATTCTGCTGCATACCTTCAAATTTAACTTCGGATCAAGTCTGGGCATCTGAGCACTAAGTGCTTAGATCAGAGGCACTTGCCTCCTTGTAGAACGGACTTGACCAAGCTGTGCACCCAGAGAGGCGTGCTGTCAGACCCAGCCCAGGAATGTGTCCTCACTTCTAGCTTAGGGACTTTATTGATAGCCCAGCCAGATCCCTCTTCGTAAGGACCCACAGGAGAGCTCCCCCTGGGAATGCAGGGGAACCGTGGATCTTCCTAAACCTTTTAATCTTCTGCCCAGCACTGCGCGCTCACTTCCTAACTGGGAGGCTTCCTCTTTCCTCTTTGCTCTGGCCACTGGGAGACTTGGGCCAAATTTGCTTAGCAAATGAAACATATTACTCTGTAATAATTTTACCCTTGTTGCACACTTCAATTTTCTGATCCCCTTTTCCCTATGAAAATTTCTTCTATGTCTTTGTATCGCCTGTGTTTTGTAAACCAACTCGTTTTTATAAATCAACTGTATCAACTTCACAAATTTCAACTGAATGGAACAGAGCCCCTGGCCTCATTTGCTTGCGAAGCCGTTACTCAAAGCCTGTATGCCAAGTACTCGTAGCAGTTGGGCCTTGGCGACTATGCTCAGCTATGATTTTTCTGGGACCTATGGAAATCATAATGCAGCCTAAATCCACAAAGTTGACAGATCTTCATTTCAGAAGTTGTGTTTAGCTCCGTAAGATCTCTTAAACCTACAGACAGGTACTGAAGGGCAGGCAAGGCACTTGGTCTTTGACGTTTGGTTCTTGGACTCACCCACATGCTAAACAGTAAAATCCCAATCAGATTGTATCATCTGGAATTTGTGAAAATTTGGACCAAGAATGGTTGAAGTTGACTCTTTATTCTCTGGGTTTATTAAACAAATGAAGAGTGTAATTTGTAAGAAGGAGTAAATGAATATTAAACAGTTATTTCCCAACAATTTTTATTCTTATGTGTATATTAAAATGTCATTAGATTATCTTCATAAACAACACTGCTCTGGCTAGTACTTTAATATGCTGATTACAAAGTCTTCCTCTCTCTTAAATTAATATTTGATTACTCTAATTAGAAAGTCTATCCTTGAAGGTGATAAATATGTACTCTTGAAAAATAGCCTAGTAGTTAAATCATTTGTAACGTATGTGATCTTTTTTTAAAATTCTATTTGCCATCATTTTTATTTGCCTCCACTTTTTTCCATCTTCCGTTAGATTTGATCTTTGTCCTCTTTTTATTCATCACTGAGTTAGAATTAGTAGTGATAGTCGCTCAATCATGTCTGACTCTGCAACCCCATGGACTGTAGCCCACCAGGTTCCTCTGACTAAGGAATTCTCCAGGCAAGAATACTGGATTGGGTTGCCATTTCCTTCTTCAAGGGATCTTCCTGACCCAGGGATCGAACCCAGGTATCCTGCATCACAGGCAAATTTTTAGAAATAATATATTCTATTTCCACTATATTAGTGGTTATCCCTAAAATTTAACACAAACATTTATTTCACTTTTTAATTCAATTTTTATTTTATATTATAGTTGATTTACAGTGTTGTATTAGGTTCAAGTGTACAAGGTGATTCAATTATTCCTCTCTCTCTTTCTCCCTCTATATATACACATGCACACACATATACATATATATATCCATTCACGTTCTGATTCTTTTCCCATACATAACACAAATGATCTTGATAGTCATGCCAATTCTTGATATCGCTCAAGATTTTAAGTAAAACCTGCCTTTTTGACAACGTTTGGAAACGCTCACTACGTCTTTGCTGAGATCACCCCCTCTTTTTTTCTGTTGGCTGCCTGGGTCTTACCTGTGGCCTGTGACCCCATGTGCCGCATAGGGGATCTAGTTCCCCAACCAGCGACTGAACGCCAGGTCCTGCGTCGGGAGCGTGGAGTCTTAGCCGCTGTGCCAGCCGAGGATTCCCTCACCCCTGTCCTGAACTCCGTAACACTGCATCCTGTCTCTCCTCTCTCCCTAGATGATTAAGCCTCTGTCCTGAGGACGCCTTCCTCTCCCTCCTCACAGCCTCCCACTTTGGGTGTCCCCTAAGTTCTGAGCGCAGAACTTCTTCCTTTGTGTTTGCTAAACAGCGAATCCTCCTTCAGGCACCAACCATCACTTTGAGCAGACAACTCTCCAGTCTGAACACTCATTTAGTTCCAATCTCTGCACTGAGATTACCTACTGGATACTTCCACTGACACAGCAAATTCATCGTGTCAGCCGTTAATAATGACTGTCAGCTTTATTCATTAGCACCATAATAAGGCTTGGCAAAAGCAAAAATAAAAGTCATTTTATTGATCATATACACCACAGGCTACCACTGGTGCTTTGAAATGAAATGTCATTTTTTAACCCTCTGAACCATCCTAGAGGTGGGTTTTACCACCTTCACTTTACCTAGCAGGAAACTGGGAAAGAGGGAGGCACAGCAACTTGATTTCAGCAGGTTTTTTCAACATTACAAAAATAAAATGTGAACTCACGTCTGTCGTGTTAAGCTGCCTCCCCAAATTTATACCTAAAATTAAATTTCTGTATTTATCCTAAACTTTTGCTCTGTCCCTATTTTTGCCTATGGTACCATAATTCTCCTAGTAAATATGAAAGCTTAAAATTCTGGGTACTTGATTGGTCCTCTCTCCTCATCACCCTTCATGTTGAATCCATCACCAGGTCCTGTAATTGTGCTTCTTCCTAATTTTTCTTTCTTCCTTCCTCGTGTTCATACACTTACCCATTAGTGTCTCCAGTAAACTGCTGCCCACTCCCTCTGCCTGACTCCTCTGCACACCCTCCTTCCCCGGATCACCACCGATGAACCTTCCAAGGGTACCACTTGCCCGTCCTTTTATCTGATCAGAAGCCTTCAGCCGACCACACTGCTTCAGGTCCTGAGCTTGACAGGCTAGGCTTCCACGATGGGACCTAAGCTGTTTCTCTGATTTTATCAGCTCCTGCAGCCCAGCACTCCTCTGCTTCCTGGAACGGGCATTTGATTTTCCTTCTGAGGTTTTGTTTATAGTGTTTCCTCACTTGAAATAAATATTCTTATTCCACCTCTTGCCCATGCAAGGCCCAACTCAAGCCTTTGATTTGGTTCTGTGGTTTTTACCTTCCTCTAAAGTTCAACTACTTTATTTATTTATTGGCTGCTCCACCCGGCTTGCAGGATCTCAGTTCCCCAACCAGGGACCAAACCCAGGTCCAGGAGTGGGAGCAGTGAGTGCTAACCACTGGGCCGCCAAGGGAGTCCTGCAACTACTGGGTTTATTATTTGCATTACTCATTCAGCTCAACCACATGTTGCCTTGGTCGTAAGGGGGGGTGTTTGTGTGTGTGTGTGTGTGTGTATCTTGCATCCCTAGTCAGATTTTAAATTCCTTAGAGGGCAAGTATTGATCTCAAACATCTTTTATGTCCCTCAGAGGTTTGGAATGAGTTATTATGTAAATCATCTAGGAACAATATAATATTCAAAGGAAGCAAATAAATTTGATAGAGAAAATGAAAAGAACATGGATTCTAGAATTAAGAATACCTGATTTCCAGTCCAGTCAACCATGTGAATTCCCTTTCAGATTCTTTGAGAGAAAGTGGAGTTGCTTTTGCCTACCTCATAGCTTATGAGCTTTTCAGTGAAGTCTCATGTATGCAGGCCAACTCCTGGCATGTGTGTGCTGAAAAATGAAACTGTGATGCCTGTTTGGTGACTGAAGAGAGCCTTGGCCTTGTGAGCTCTATGTGAGCATCAGTGATTGCTTTTGAACACCACTGTAGCCACGATTCATTGACAAGAATAAATGTATAGATTACAGGCTCAGACTTAAGTTTGTTCCCTATTTCTGTATTTAGAATTAGACAATTTTAGAGTTGAAACTGTAACGAACACCCAGAACAACTAACACTCTTCTAGAACTAACAGCCAGAAACAAAGTCCTTTTCATTGTAGGGGACTGGAATGCAAAGGTAGGAAGTCAAGAGACACCTGGAGTAACAGGCAGGTTTGGCCTTGGAGTACAGAAGGAATCAGGGCAAGAGCTAATAGAGTTTTGCCAAGAGAACGCACTGTCATAGCAGATACCCTCTTCCAACAACACTGGAGAAGACTCTACACGTGGACATCACCAAATGGTCAATACCA